ATGGAAGGATGAATTCTTTTTATCTTCATCTAAGAAAAGTGGGGAAAAGTTGTCTTTTTGTGAGGCTCTCGCGGAGCGCACACTACCGCACAAGAGTCGCTAATGGGCATACTATTTAAACAATAGAGTGTTTTTTGTTCTTGTTGTTGTTTTGTTTTGTTTTTTTTTTACAGTTCACCACTAAATTTCCTGCGATTTTTATTGGTTTAAATTGATGGCGTGACGCGATAGTATTCATCAGCGAAGAGACACTATCAGCCCATAATGCCCGTCCGAGGAAAATACCCGGATGGATAGTACTCGTCCGCGAAAATTTGTCTGTTTTCTTTTTCAAATCTTACATTTGGCTTTATACGTTTTTCATATACAAAGTTGAAAAAAAATTCAATATGATTTTTGAACTGGCGCGCGTAAGAAAATTTAGTGGTGAATAATAAAGACAATAGATTAGACTTGGGGTCAAGTCTCCCGTTTTGTGCTGGCGTCCAGTTCTCCCGCGATTCTATCCGAACGTTCAACGTTCGAATAAAATACGAGAAAATGGAGGGCTGTGAAGAGTCTAACAAAAGATATGAAAACATGACAATAGAGTGTTTATTTCTTGGAACTGTCGGTCTGACAGTTGCCCCTTGAAAATCTGATGCTCTTAAAACTAGCAGATTTGTTTTAAGAATATAAAATTTACTCAGGCACGTGGTTCCTTGACAGAAACACTCTATTGTTTAAATAGTGCCAGCGCGAGACTGTACCACGTGAACAGCGTCTGGTCAATGACGATGAAGTAGCTGACGGTAATGAAAGATACCATTATGCACACATATTTAAAGTAAAAACATACTGCACACCTTGTTGTCGATGATCAGTTCTACACGAATTGTGTTTATGTCACAGCCTCCACCAATCAGGAACGAAATGTTATGGCTCGTGATGGTGAAGTAGGGGGAAGAAAGAGTTCCTTGGGGTCTGTCACCTTGAATTGTTCCGGCGGGAGCTGATTTGGAGGGTCGGTTTTCGTATCCTCCAATCCACCAGTCCCCTTGTTGACTCGCAG